GGAACTGAAGACATCAGGAAAGAGTCTCCCGTGTATTTGCAGACCCTGATGAAGATGAAGATGAAGACGAGGGACTCAGATCCGTCTCCAGACGTCCCTCAAGACTCGCTCATGTTTTACTAATGTCAGGCCAAAAATACACCGCCGAGAGCGGCTTCAAACTAGGTCATCTGCTACCTTTCTGTCTTTCTTTCCGTCTGTGGCTCGCTCGGGGTCCGTGAAAACATAAATAAAATAAAATAAAATAAAATGTGGCAATGCTTTTCACGGCACACCTAAAAAAAAAAAAAAGGCTTCAATTCAGGAATATTTCTTATGTGTGTTAAATTAGGTCATTAATGCCACACTCCTCAGACATAAAACCCACAAACCAGCTGTTTTTCAAAATGTGTTTATTAGTCATATACAAAATAAAGTAAGCTGTATATCAACAAACATACAGTATATACATCAATAAATTAAAGACGCCCGACTGACTGATATTTATATACCAATACATTATATTACTTATCTACAGATTGCAAAAGTACAATAACTTAGTTGATAAATACTTACAATTAAATGGACTTCCACGGTATCTATACTTCCCATACGAAGAGCTATGATATCTTAATTTAATACACCCCATACAGAAAAACAACAGAACAAATGTTCTTTTTTTAGACACAAAAATCCAGCTTGACACATTTCTGACCCGAGTCACAAAAGAGGGGGGGGAAGAGCTCGATTCGAGAATATTAAGAAGCTGAAGTGCATCTAAAAGCATGTTATTTCACCTCTAGAGAACATACATAGTGCTCTTTCCTCGTGTTATTGATCAGAGTCGAGGAAGAGTCACTGAAACCCATCCGTTTAGCAGCAGGATGAAGAGCTAGTGACTGAAAAAGGTCTCTCTCTTAGACCAGAAATCAACTCTTGAGAAGATCCTAGACTCGTTTTTTTCCTTCAACCTGAAAGGAAACGTTTTAATGCGCGTCCCACGAGGCCCGGGAGAGAGAACGAGCAGAAGCACATCGGGCCGTGACGAGAGCCAATGCAAGTCCAGATAATGTGGGAGTCGGAGAGTTTGCGGGAGAAGTAGGACAAAGCTGCCCGGCAACAGGTTGAGTCCGGATTCATTAAAAGCTATCAGCAGATCGCAGTGACTTTAGTGCAAGATTGCACTGCAAAAAATGCTCTTCCTCTGTATTTTGTCTAGACATCCTTAAATCAACATGCATTTACACTCTTAAAAATAAAGGTGCTTCACGATGCCATAGAAGAACCTTTTTTTCTCTAAATGTGTCCCTGCAGCACAAGAGCAGTGTTAAGTCGCTGGGGGATATTTGTAGCAATAACCAACAATACATTGTATGGGTCACAATTATACATTTCTCTTTTATTCCAAAAATCATTAGGATATTAAGTAAAGATCATGTTCCATGAAGATATTTAGTAAATGTCCTACCGTAAATATATCAAAACTTAATGTTTGATTAGTAATATGCATTGCTAAGAACTTCATCTGAACAACTTTAAAGATGATTTTCTCAATATTTAGATTTTTTTGCACCCTCAGATTCCAGATTTTCAGATATTGTCCGATCCTAACAAACCATACATCAATGGAAAGCTTATTTATTCAGCTTTCAGATGATGCATACATCTCAATTTCATAAAATGGACTATTCTGACTGGTTTTGTGGTCCAGGGTCACATATGGTTCCATAAAGAAGCTTTAACATCTGAAGAACCTTTCTGTTTCACAAAAGCTTCTTTGTGGTGAAAGAAGGTTCTTCAGATTATAAAAAGGTAAGAAAGAGACGGTTCTTTAAAGAACCTTTGACTGAACGCTTGTTCTGTGGCATCGCTGTGAAGAAGCTTTTAAGCGCCTTTATTTGTAAGAGTGTACTTGAGATGCAAAATGAATTCAGATGTTAAGCCTGAAAAATGATGAAAATGGACTGAGTTTGATTAAAACAATTAAAGTCAGAGAAATAAACATTCAATGGAAAAACAAGATGATTTTTCTGACTCCATTGGCAGACTTGTTCTGCTTGTTCTTAACTATGAAATCAATAAAAAGTATTTTCAAAAAAAGTAGCAATTAGGTGAGTTTATGCTTAAAATAAGGTTTTAAGTTTTAAGGGTAGGTTTTCTGAAAAATGCTTTCAAAAGTGAGTGAGTTTATGCTAAAAACAAGAAAACAAATCTGCCAATGGAGTCAGAAAAATCAACTTCATTCATAGGAAAAACGATCATTTTTCTGACCCCTACGGCTGATTTTTGTCTCGTTTTAAACATAAACTCACTAAAGATTCTCATTTTATTTATTAAAAAAAAGGTATCCAAATTAAGAGAGTTTGATCTTATTTTTGCTTGTTTTAAGCATGAACTCACTTAACATTTGGAGCCCTATTTTCTGAAAACTGCATCAAAATTAAGTGATTTTATGCATAAAACATGAAAAATATGAAAATGAACTCGTTTTCCTTTGAATTAAGTTAGTTTTCTAATTCTTCTAGTTTCAAGTATAAACCCACTTAAGATTTTAAGCATTATTTTCTGACAAATCAAAATCAAGTCATTTTTCTTTCATAGTAAATGTGTCTAGATTTAAGCATTTAAGTTCATATTTGTAATTCTAAGAGAATGATTGTTTGTGTCGGCCTCGTGGGACGTGGCACTGTTTCTAACAGCGAAACTAAACGTTCGGTTTCAGAGCCCTTGTTGGGTAAATCTAGCGCTCATCATCAATCGCTGCGATTATTCACGGACGACAACTTCAAGCCAAGAAAACTAGATTCCTACCGAGAGGTCGTGACCCCTCCCTACCGACCAGCTCATTTGCATATAGTTCACTTTTAACACCGAGTCACCACGACGACCATAATGACAACAAACGTGAACGAGCCGCTCCTCACGAGAGAGAAATTCATCAGGAGCCTCATTATTGGGCATCGTTTCCGAGGAAGATTTTTTCGTCTTTAAAACCGTTCGATACATCGCCTATAGAAACGCCACAAAACCGCCACAGCCGATAGGAGAAACGCTACCATTGGTTACGAAAGCAATGCCGAAGACTCGGTTACGAAACGATTTCACAGATTAGCCAGTCAGAGGAAGATATTTCTGTTGAGTTACATCGAGAAATTAAAAAATAATCCCGTCGCACAAATACACCTACAACGATTCGGTTCTTAAAATGCCAGATCGGTGCAGGATCAGATCGGATCAGGGGAAAATCATTCAGATTGTCACAAGATTAGACTAAACGATAAAGAACCTTGTGCTGTAATAAATCATTTTTCAGAGCATTAATGCTGCGCTCACATCATATCGCAAATACTACTGCAAATATCAGCTTCTGAGCGACAAACATCACCTCTTTACAAAAGATTTTGTGACGTTATGTAAAAAAACAGGCAAAGTGGAAGATTCTGCAACACATACGAAGCATTTTATAAACGCTTCAGCTTTCCGTAAGAGCACACCGAGCTAAAAATCAATGTACTGATGGAGTATTTCACGGCCATCAACGACTAAGGTTGCAAAAGAGCAGAAAATGGCCAGAAACTCTCCAGAATTTTTTGGAAAGTTTTCGAAAATTTACAGGAAGTTTTTTTTCACCCCTTTGCATCCACAACAACAACAAAGCAACACATGGGCTCATTTTAGCATTACATGCATTATACATTTATAAAGTTTGCATAATCATAGAAATTTTAATGAGCAACATTTTGGTAAATCAACCTTACAAAACATGCAAAAGTGTGAGCACATCACTTAAACGGAGTACAATCAGCTGTGAGTAATAAATAATTTAACATTTTTATTTGAATGTGAATTTTTGTAAATGTGTTATTTGTGATTTATTGCCAACAGCTGATTGCACTGAATTGAAATGATGTGCCGCTCATACTTTTATATGGTTTGTAAGCCTGAGGGAGATCAGTTGACTGAAACATTGCTCATTAATATTTCTGTGACCATGCAAACATGTGTTTTCCAGTGTGTTCATGGGTTTCTGTAATTTAACTAGAAAAACTGATTTGGATGCGCGAGGCACCACATATTTTTTTAGCATTATGTGCATTGCAACAGAAACAACTTCTACTCACTGTAACATAATTACAGTCTTATAATTACAGTAATTCTAACGAGACGTGAGCGCACCATTACAACAGCTCTGACTTATACACCTTTTATTAATGGACAAACAATTTGGCCAAAAAACAAATTCCTGAAACAATTTCGGACAGCTCTTTTTTTTTTTTTTAAGGTTGAGAAAAGGAATATTTTGAGCGGCGTCGCAGCAAGAAGAGCTGGTTTAAACCAGTGCATACAGAGTCACTTCCCTGGCATTAAAAGAAAAAAATCCCCCCAAAAAATAAAAGAAGAAAACAACAACAAATATAATATACCATAGAAACGTTTTACACCAAAAAATATAACATAAAAGGACTTAAACGCAAGCAATGTGGCCACATCCCATACATCCCTGCGCTCGCGTTTGTGTCCCATACACTTAAACACGGAGCGCACAAACGCTCAGAGGGGATTCTGGGTAAGCGGCGCTCATCGCACGCATTCGTCTGAAATCAGAAGAGCATCACATCCACGTCGTAAACAACACCGCCACCTCACCAGTACAAATCACACCACACGCGCTACTCCACAGTTTGACGCGCCTAGCCACTAGAAAAAGCTATTGACTTCAATAGTTAAGCCACTTTTGGTACAATTGCAAAAAAGAGAGCTATCAAACAACTTTATATTTCTTTTTTTAAATGTTTTATAAATAATGCAAGATACTCTGTCATTTTTTTTTTATATATATATAAAATTCAAGACTCCACCATATAGACAAAGATTCTTAGAATACGTTACGCAATGTCACAGCAACAAAGTTATGGTAAAGCTTGTGAGATTCACCAGTTTATGTCACGCAACAGTCTGTCCTTCAAAAACAGAAACTTGGATTTTTTTTTCTTGTTTTTAGTCCAAAAACTGGCACAGAACACACACACACACACACACACACACACACACACACACACACACCTCTGGATTTACGGACAACCACAGACATGATAACCTTCAGCGTGAAGGTCGCACAGCATGAAATAAACAACAAAATACGTCGCATAACATAAACATGTTATTGCCTTGCCAATAAAAACGATCCCCTGTCCTGAAACGGACGACTGGAGCACATAAACTGGTGGCAGATATTCTGATAGCTACCATATGAACAACATCAGCTGATTTGACTCCGCCTCCTCTCCTCCTGCCCGTCAGCGATTGGTCAGTGCATAAATGAGGCTCAGGTAAAGGCAGCTTCTCATTAGCTGATACTCTCTTACCGCGGAAAGCTTTTCCTTCAGACGGTGGAAGAGTTTTAAAGTGTTTTGTGCCTGCAGTCCTTAAAACCAAAGGACGGAAAAATGGCGCAACAGCACATACGAAGAGAAAATCAACACGAACACTGTATAAAAAGTACAATATTACAATGACAAAGAAAACACTTGGACCCCATGTGAAACGCACGATACAAAGTCGCCGATGTTTGTACAAAAATTACAAACCTCACAGCAATACAACACACATCCACCAGGAAAATTTGGCTGCATGGTTTTAGATTCGAGTTTAGCAATTTGGAGATCGTTTTGGAAGCCCAAGTGAATTGACCGTCCTAGATGTGCTTTCCTTCGTTTGTAACCCAGAAAAAGCCCACATTAGAGAGTACTGAAGGGGTTTTCCATCAGGAGCGTCCCGCACCTAAACCCTCATGCACTGACCAACCCTTGCTCTCTGTGCGCTACTAAGACCTCGCATTGGTTTTCGATTTAACTATTGTGATAACACTGGTGGCTCCCACCTTCCCGGGAATGAGGGGCCCGATGACGGAGGCCAAGGGCCCGCGGGGGGAGACGGGGACGGCCGCATTACAAACCGGGGCCACGGGCCCTCGGGCCACAGTTCTGGCGAAGCTCTGCAGAGCCTCGTATTTGGAGCGCAGCGCGTCCAGCTCCACTTTCATGCTGGCGTTCTCTGAAGCCAGCTTCTCCACTTCCTGCTGAAGCTCCGCCTTCTGCCTCTCAAGCTCCTCCTTCTGCGTGACGCGCTTGACGCGGCAGCTGGCGGCGTAGCCCCGGTTCTTCAGCGTCCGCCGGCGCTGCTTCAGCTGAAGGATCTCATCTTTGGTCAGGCCGCGCAGGTGCTGGTTGAGCTCTCGGACCGACATGGACACCAGCTCATCGTCCGTCAGGCTCGTCCCGTTCTCGCCGGGCTCCCTCTTCACCTGAGAGTCCAGGAGAGCGTTAGTTAACATCCACCTTATTTAGAAGAACACAAAAAGATATTTTGAAGAATGTTGGGAACCAAACAGTTTTGGTTCCCATTGGCTTCCATTATATGGACAGAAAATACAATGGAAGTCGATGGGAACCAAAACTGTTTGGGTTACCAACATTCTTCAAAGCATCTCCTTTTGTGTTCTTCTAAATGTCTTCTAAATATTTTGAAGAATGTTGGGAACCAAACCGTTTTGGTTCCCATTGGATTCCATTATATTGACAAAAATGCAATGGTAGTCAATGGGGACCATCAACTGTTTGGTTACCAACATTCTTCAAAAGGTCTTCTTTTGTGTTCTTCTAAATGTCTTCTAAATATTTTGAAGAATGTTGGGAACCAAACCGTTTTATGACTTCCATTATATGGACAAAAAATACTATGGATGTGAATGGGAACCAACATTTTTCAAAATACCTTTTGTGTTCATACAGTTTTGGAACGACGGTGAGTAAATGATGATCATTAATAACATGGATGTAGTAGTCCACCCCAAATAACAAATTTGTCATTATTTACTAACCCTCAAGTTATCATCGATTCCCATTAAATTCCATTGTATTTTCTGTCAATATATTGAAATTCAATGGCACCCGAAACTGTCTGATTACCAACATTCTTCAAAATAGAGTTTTTTGTGTTCTGCAGAAGAAAGTCGAGTCATACACATTTGGAACAAGTCGATAATGACAGAATTTAAATTTCTGGGAGGACTATCCCTTTAAAGACAGACTGCGCTCACCTTCAAGGCCTTGTTTCCTTTGTTAGTGGTCGTCATGCCACGAGGAACCGCTGCCAAGCCACGCAGATCTACAAAACAAACACGTATTAGACTGTGGGACACCGGGAATCTAGAACAGGTGACGTCCGGTCAGGGCGAAACTCGTTTAATCATGGAACAGAGCTTCATATGAGCTCAAGGATGAGAAACAGCAAGTGAAAGCAAAAGAGTGTTGATATCTCCTGCCACGTGTGAAAGGAATCAGCCACCTTACTCTGAAAAAAAAAACACACACAAAAAAACTGGACTAGTGAAAGTGATAACTTTGAACCCACGACTTCCTGTTTCAGACTTCCTCTGTGGTCGTGGCGGTTGGGAGCTGAATGCTCTACAGCAGCTTCTCTGCATCTGAGCCTCGCTGCAGGCTGATAGGCTGCTGAAGAGCCAATAAGAGGAAGGAGAAGCGCTGAGAAGGAAGTGTGGCTTGGGCCGCGGTCCAGGGGATTACCAGCCCGATGAAGGGTGAGCAAACAGCGATCCGTCGCTCGGAGAGGAAAACCGGAACGCGAGGAATCAAACCGCAATGAACGACAATCACATGCTGAATCAAACCGATCAAATACTGACGTCGCCTCATACAAACCATTAGAGTTTAGCAAATGATTTGGGGCTTATAGCTTTAAAAAAATCTTATTTTACAATTGATTTAATTATATTCAATATATATCTCAGTATGTATGTATAAATGATTTTGTAGCCAATTAGATTCTAAATATTAAAATGTAAAGTAACAATCTAGTTAAAAAAAAGACTACATGTTTTCTATGTTTTAAATATTTAATCATTTTCATTTGTATGCACCCAATGATAATAAGCAGCAATATTTACCTATATATTTTTTTCACTAAAACACCCTAGCAGCTGCACAGCAACCTCCTAGCAACCATCTAGAAGAAATATTAAATAAATTGAATTAATACGGAATCAAGAACAGAATCCAGAACAATTTAAATTTTGGAAAAATGCAACTAATTTTATAGGACCCAAGGATTGAACAAATTGTTAACGTTTTATAAATTAAATTGAGTTGATGTTATTTTTTTATGACTAAAATTGAATTACAATGGAAACCAGTTAAAATTTAAATGGAATAATTTGAATTTTACAAAAATAGAAAATAAACAAACAAACAAACAAACTGATTTCAGTGGGATCAAAGAATTAATAAATTGTTAGTTTTATCAATTCAATTGAGTTGGTAATTTTATAACATTTAACATAACATTTGATTTTTTAAAAATCCAGAAAACAATTAATTGAGAAAAAAATTGAATTTTGGGGAAAAAATTATTAGATTTCAAAGGGCCCAAAGACTGAATAAATTCATAAAAGTTTAATCAATTTAATTGAGCCGATATGATTTTTTTAGACTGAAACTACTAAAAACTACTTAAAACTGAAAACCATTAAACAACAAGCTTTTAAAATCAAGCTCTTAAAACTTACAGATTCTTAAACTATTTTAAACTTTCAGACTAGGGTTTTCTCAAGCCAACCTTAAAGTTGGTCTACAAACTTCACTATCTAGTTTATATTTGATATATTGTCCAGCACTGATAAGATCTGCAGCAATATTCACTCATTTGTAATCATCAGTGTTTTCATACGTCATTCATAATCAGAAAACCCATCAGCAAAACATGGAGAATGAAAGAGGACGGTGACAGAAGAGAAACCCTGATGAGATCACACACACACACACACACACACACACACACACACACTCGCGGTTCTACAATGGCTTTCTTTGAGGCGTGATGAAGGGTCGTCATTGTCCCTCAGCGGCATCATGGGATACGGCGCGCGTGATTCTGCACATTCCTGAATCAGTGGTTCATCTGATCCTGAATCAGACGTGAACTTCACAGCGTGCAAGAATCAAACTGCATCAGAAACCCAATGCATTCTGTGCAAATGCAAAACATAGTTAAAAATCACCTGGTCAGTGGTTTGTCTGAACAACAATCGTTGGAACAAATCGATGGAAGCCCTGTATAATTAGGCTTCATTATTCAAGTAATTAGGCTAAAAATAAATAAACTCTAAGTGACTAGTTAACCATACTGACCCGTCCCTGCTGTGTGTGTGTGTCTGTGTGTGAGAGAGTGTGTGTGAGTGAGAGTGTGTGTGTGTGTGTGAGAGAGAGTGTGTGTGTGTCTGTGTGTGAGAGAGTGTGAGTGAGTGAGTGAGTGTGTGAGAGAGTGTGTGTGAGTGAGTGAGTGAGTGAGTGTGTAAGTGAGTGTGTGAGAGTGTGTGTGTGTGTGAGAGTGTGTGTGTGAGTGAGAGTGTGTGTGAGTGTGAGTGAGAGAGTGTGTGAGTGTGAGTGAGAGAGTGTGTGAGTGTGAGTGAGAGAGTGTGTGAGTGTGAGTGAGAGAGTGTGTGAGTGTGAGTGAGAGAGTGTGTGAGTGTGAGTGAGAGAGTGTGTGAGTGTGAGTGAGAGAGTGTGTGAGTGTGAGTGAGAGAGTGTGTGAGTGTGAGTGAGAGAGTGTGTGAGTGTGAGTGAGAGAGTGTGTGAGTGTGAGTGAGAGAGTGTGTGAGTGTGAGTGAGAGAGTGTGTGAGTGTGAGTGAGAGAGTGTGTGAGTGTGAGTGAGAGAGTGTGTGAGTGTGAGTGAGAGAGTGTGTGAGTGTGAGTGAGAGAGTGTGTGAGTGTGAGTGAGAGAGTGTGTGAGTGTGAGTGAGAGAGTGTGTGAGTGTGAGTGAGAGAGTGTGTGAGTGTGAGTGAGAGAGTGTGTGAGTGTGAGTGAGAGAGTGTGTGAGTGTGAGTGAGAGAGTGTGTGAGTGTGAGTGAGAGAGTGTGTGAGTGTGAGTGAGAGAGTGTGTGAGTGTGAGTGAGAGAGTGTGTGAGTGTGAGTGAGAGAGTGTGTGAGTGTGAGTGAGAGAGTGTGTGAGTGTGAGTGAGAGAGTGTGTGAGTGTGAGTGAGAGAGTGTGTGAGTGTGAGTGAGAGAGTGTGTGAGTGTGAGTGAGAGAGTGTGTGAGTGTGAGTGAGAGAGTGTGTGAGTGTGAGTGAGAGAGTGTGTGAGTGTGAGTGAGAGAGTGTGTGTGAGTGAGTGTGTGAGTGAGTGTGTGAGAGTGTGTGTGTGTGTGAGAGTGTGTGTGTGTGTGTGTGTGTGTGTGTGGGAGTGACTTAAGCTGATTTGATCCTGGAAGAATCCCCCATTACCACGGCAACAGCACCCTCCTCATCCTCACACACACACACACACACAGTCAGAGGACAGCGGAAGTCCTTTATCAGAGGTAATGTGTTTTATGCGTCCAGCAGCGGGTGTCCTCTCGTCTCATCTCAGATGAATATTAAACAGACTGTGTTTGTCATTATATTAACCAGCGTGTCCTCTGAGGAACTTCAGCTCGTGATACCGGTCAGCAGATACCCTTCATCAACCTCACACACTCTCTCTCTCACACACACACTCAC